TAAATAAATAAATAAATAAATAAATAAATAAATAAATAAATAAATAAATAAATAAATAAATAAACTGGTAAGAGGTTAAATATTTATAACCTCTCCCCAAGAAACCCACTTCAAAAAAAATTACAGAACAAACAGAAGCAGTGATTGTTAACAAGTTACAGAGATCGGTAAACTTTTTTTAAATTCCCAAACCTTTAACATTCTTCACAGGTCTGACTCCCAAAATAACTGCAGTCATGTTAGAAAAATGTGAGCGATAGGATGAGTGAACATGAGAGAGAATCAGCCAAACCTCATATATTGCAGTGTTGAGAGGGGAAGGACAAGSAATAACTGAAAAGAATTTTATTCGTTTAGGACGCAGATTCTTTTGCCAAACGGGCCAGACCACAGAACTTGGCCTGGGAGCAACACTAAACTTTTATTTTAAAAACTGCACCCACATCTGTCCCAAATTACAGGGCTTGGTCTTGGGAGAGTCACCCCAGTGGTTTGGACAAGAGGTGTATMTATCTAGCGCTCCTCATTTATCCCAAATAGACAATTTTTTTGTGAAATTTATTTAGTTTTTCGCTTTTCTTTGTTTAGTCAGAAAGATGACACAAAAGCCGGTGAAAGAAAGAGAGCTTTTGATTTTGACACTAAACGATTCCTCGTATCACAGAACTCATGTTGTAACCTGGTTTTCACAGTCGCTCATCATAAATCTGGACTTCGAACTGTGGAGAAAGAAAAAACACATGTTCCATTATGCTGGAGGTGTTTTTTTATGTAGTGATGTCTGTTTTAACAACCATTTATCTTTTTATCTGCATGCAAGCACAGACGCTGCCAAGCGATTGTTTTTCAAAGATTGCTTTTCAGAGAGGGAAAAAAAGAGATGAGGTGCAGTTTATTGAGTGCAGACTGATTTGTATAAACAGCAGTGAACTATCAGCTAATTAGTCTGTTTCTTCTGCCAAATTTAGTTTAAAATCATTGCAAACAAGTTTGCTAGCAGCTGTTGCTCTTTCATTTACATCCTTGTTATCTGTTGAGGATAAATGACATCACAAACAGTCCAGGGTCAGAGATCTCACTAACCCCCTTACTTTTTTTAATACAACTATTTCTCAAAAAGCAATGTGGGTTTTGTTTCTCATGTGTAAAAAAACATCTTCTGGAAAGGTTTTGGTGTTCGGTTTAAATTCAATGGCAGCCATGCGTCGACCTTTTCGGTGCTTACTCGTCGCCTGTAATTTCCAGCTCTAATCTAACGATCTAACAATGTCTAACAAGCCCACCCTTGTTGCAAAATCATAGAACAAGGGTGGGCTTGTGGGTTTATAGTGGAGGTTTGAGGATGGGGCTGGAGTAGGCATGTTTGTGTACAGCTCTGGGATAAACTCCATCCACAGCGTTAAATTGCGTTAACTCTTCAAAGAAACCAGAAAACAAGAAAAATAGCAGCAAACTGCGTCCAACACGCAATCCCACAAATGACAAGACATAGTTTTGTCTTGTGTTTAATGACTCTTCAGAATGTGAGCTGCACTAAAAGTTTTGTTAATGCTTTGAAATTTTCAGTTTCTCATTTGTCAGTCTTAGGAAAATGTGGTCAAATCGTTCTTTAATTAAGAAAAAGTTGTTGAAATTGTTTGGTCACTGAGAGCGGAGCTGAATATTGAACACATTGGATTTGTTAACCAGTAAATCTTCCTGAAGCAACAGGAATCTTGATCAGTTTAGTTATATTTCTGGGATGTCTTCAGTGAATRGTCATCCTTAAGACCCTTTCAAACTATTAAATTTCAGACAACAAACTGTTTGCCAACTTATGAACATTTTGACTAAATTACTCATTTAGGTTACACAGTTTATTTCATCTGATAATTAGCAAATGAATACGTCCAAAACAGGCTTCCAGTGGAGTTTTTTTTCATTCCATCTTCAGCATAGACATCGTTTGTGTAGGACAAAAGCTTTAACAAATTTGCACAAGTTGTGTGAAAAGTTATAGCACCTTTAAGTTGGGTCTCAAACTTAACATTTAAAAAAATAATTTTCTTTCTTTTCATGCCCCAAAATACATCACCAAGTTACTTAAATGTAAACCTTACTCCTGTGCTTTAGGTCATCATTCCCCAATCCTTTAAGTCTCAGCTAAATGATGATCTCTTATAAAAAATAAACAATAATAATTTTAAATTTTTTAATTCTCTGTTCTATTAAAGTTTATGATATGTTTTTGTCCCAAAGGAACACATGGTGGACTTGAGAGTTCNAATACATCACCAAGTTACTTAAATGTAAACCTTACTCCTGTGCTTTAGGTCATCATTCCCCAATCCTTTAAGTCTCAGCTAAATGATGATCTCTTGTAAAAAAAAAAAATAATAATAATTTTAAATTTTTTAATTCTCTGTTCTATTAAAGTTTATGATATGTTTTTGTCCCAAAGGAACACATGGTGGACTCGAGAGTTCGTCAATTGTCTTTTCTGGCAATTTATTAAAAAATAAATAAAGAAATGAAGAAAATAACAAAATTAAATGTTGCAGCAGACTGCAGGTTCAACAAAACTAAACGCTTGAGTTGCGATTCTTGACTGAAAAAAGCGTAAGGTTTACACGACCTTGTGAAAACTGATGCGTTCAGACTCTGACCACGGGTCAATCAGCGTCACATCTGCCTGATTACTCACACAGCAGAAGACACAACATGAACCAGCAGTCAAAATAAAACACTCATTGCAAACTGCCACAATATTTTTGGATTCACGAGTTTGAATTGTTCTTTAAAATTAACTCAAATACCCTCCGTGCTGTACGGCTGAGATTAAATTCTGATGTTAGTATCCAGGGCTTTTATCTACTAAATAATAATTATTTGATTTTGTTCTTCCCAAAAAAGTAAAATTTTTTTTGCCACTGTTCACACAGCTTATAGTTTCAGGTGTGTTGTGAAACATCTAGCTACCTCTTTTGAAAACGTAACTTATTAAATAGAAGAAAGTTCTCAAAACAGCTAAAAGAATTTATATTTCCTACAATAACATGGTTTGTTAAGTGTTATTTTATTCACTTTGGCTTTCTATTTCAGGGGATTGTTTGCTCGACCAGCCTCAGAAGCCTTTAGTTCTTCCTGAGATTCTTCCCGGATCATCCTACAGCCTCAACCGTCAGTGTGAGCTGGCCTTCGGAGAAGACTCCAAACCTTGTCCTTTCATGCAGCCGCCGTGCAATCGTCTGTGGTGCACGGGAAAGTCCAGTGGCCACCTGGTGTGCATGACTCGGCACTTCCCCTGGGCAGATGGCACCCATTGTGGTGACGGACAGGTCTGCGACCGAGGGGTCTGCTCTGCCAAACACATCAAACATGTGAAGGTAAGACAAGGATATTAGTTATAATCAGCTCACAGAAGGGTGTCTTTAATTGGTTTTTCTTTGGGTTTCCAGGTGGATGGACGCTGGGGTAAATGGGGTCCGTTTGGTTCCTGTTCGCGGACATGTGGAGGTGGCGTCCAACTTTCTAAAAGGGATTGTAACAATCCAATTCCATCTAACGGGGGTAAATACTGCCAGGGAGTTCGGGTCAAATATCGCTCCTGCAACCTGAATCGCTGCCTGCAGACAGGTAKGAGTCGTTTTAAGGAAAAAAAACACTGGACGATGAAATCTAAGTCCAATAATTAATCTGTTCTTACCTGCTACACCTTGTCTCCACTTTGTGTAGGTAAGACGTATCGTGAAGAGCAGTGTGAGACCTCTGGCCACAGTTTTAACAGCAACCGTTTAACCCACTCTGTGGTGTGGGTACCAAAGTACTCCGGAGTGTCTCCCAATGACAGATGTAAACTCATCTGTAGGGCTAATGGCACTGGCTACTTCTATGTCCTGGCACCCAAGGTAAACAATTGTATTTATTTTTTACAGCACAGACATTAGGTTTAATTGGGTTTTCATGGATCAAGGCTGGTCCTAGACAGTTTGGTGCACTAGGCAAAATTTCAGGTGGTGCTCCTTGTGTAATTTTATGGATCAAGGCTGGTCCTAGACAGTTTGGTACACAAGGCAAAATTTCAGGTGGTACCCCTTGTGTAATTTTCTAAATCTCATACCTCATACAAAGTTATGTCTTTGATATTACTTTTTATGTTTAGAAACAAGGTTTTCCAATTAAAATACTCAACTATACTTGGATAAGAAGTTGTAAAATAAACAWTTTTGTCCCACATTTATGGCGCCACAAGGATAGACGGGGCCCTTAGCAGATGCCTGTACTGCCTATGCCAGGGGCCGGCCCAGATGCAGATCGAAACGGTTGATTTTCATAATAAATATTGGAAAATATTATAAAATAATCACTTCTCAACTGTTATAAATTATTGCATCACTCACACAAAGTATAAGCTTGACAAGGTCTCAAAAACTATATTCTTCCAATGACTGAAATATATGTTAAATGGTTATTTTGCGTCATGAAATGTAAGTAGGTGAAACTTAACCCTGAAGTGTATTTGTAAATTCCAGGTTGTAGATGGGACTCCGTGCTCGCCAGATTCCACTGGAGTTTGTGTCCAGGGAAAGTGCATTAAGGCTGGATGTGATGCTAAAATTGGCTCCACTAAGAAGTTTGATAAGTGCGGAATCTGCGGAGGCGACACCAAGGCCTGCAAGAAGGTGTCGGGACTCTTCACCAAGCCTCGGTGAGCAGAACCTGCGTCATCACCAGACACCTCCATGCTGTTCTTTCTGTCCCCTTCACATCTGCTTCATAAGCTTCAATCTTATGATTTATTTATTTATTTATTTATTTATTTATTTATTTATTTATTTATTTATTTACGGCTACAACTTTGTCGCCACGTTGCCAGTGGGCGCAGCCAACATAGACATTCGTCAGCGAGGCTACAAGGGAATGCTGGGTGATGACAACTATTTGGCCGTAAAGAACAGCGAGGGTCATTATTTGCTCAAYGGAAATTACATTGTTTCAGCTGGCGAAAAAGATATCTTTGTGAAGAACAGCCTGCTGCGCTACAGTGGCACATCCGGCCTCTCGGAGACCCTGCAGGCTGTGAAGCCCCTGGGAGAAGCCTTGACCGTGGAGGTGCTGTGTGCGGGCAAGATGACTCCACCTCGCATCCGCTACTCCTTCTACCTTCCCCGTCAAATCAAGGAGGACAAAACGCTGAAAAAAGAGGGGCACGCAAACTCAGAAAACAGTGTCCTGATAAAAGACGGCGGCAAGGAGAAAGGAGGCGACACCCTGAAGCRTTCTTACAGCAAGGAGGATTCTGCTGTTGGGAAGTGGATAACCACGCCCTGGAACAAGTGCTCGGTGTCCTGCGGTCGCGGTTTCCAGAGGAGGCTGGTGCAGTGTTTAAGAGCAGATGGGAAGCCAGGGCTGGACTGTGATTCGTCACAAACACCTCCAGCCACCAGAGTTTGCGAAGAGCCTTGTGCTGAGTGGCACATCGGGCAGTGGTCGCCCTGCTCCAGAACCTGTGGGAAGGGCTTCAAGAAACGAGCTCTGCACTGCAAAACCCAGACTGGAGATCTGCTTTCCAGGGACCGCTGCAGTGGAGTTCGTAAACCACAGGAGCTGGACTTCTGTAACCTAAGGCGGTGCTAGTGAGCTAAAGAACTATAAACTTCTAATGTTTTTATATTTCAAGTGGACTCAAATGAATCGTCCCGCAAGTGTTACACCACATCTGTCATGCAGATGTTCAGCCTACATCACTGGACTGGTAAAGGACACCGAGGGACATTGTTTGGAAGAACAATGAGAGGCAAAGTCATAAGATGAATGCTGGATGAATAAATATCATCGGTTTAGCTTTAAAAAAGTACCCAGAGGTAACTGATTGGGTTTTTAATAGAAAGTGAAATGAATGATAAATTCTTTGTGATGTCAAGAGGGACAAAATGCACATTTTAAAGTAATCAATCAATGGTGCTGTGGGAGTCTGGAACCCATTTTATGGTATATTTGTAAAACTGTCCAAGCTTCAGATGCTCTACAGGCAATTCAGCTTCCTGCCAAAATATGACTAAACTTTTTGAATACCAAAATGGAAGAGTGGTAATCTTACAGGTGCTCCCCCTCGCCCCTTGGTGGCTGTTTTGTTTTAAGTCAAACAGATCTACAGATGCTGCTGCAGCATCACTTATCTGTCATTAATTTAAACATGAAGAAAAGAAAAAAAGAAGCTAATAATAACCAGCTGTAGTGAGTGAAACAATAAYACAACCTTTAATGCCTTTGGACAGAAGTGAAAGACTTCCAACAGAAAAAAAATGGAAATGTCTTAATTTATGTTAATCTGAAAGTCAAAAATGAGATTTAATCTGAAAACTGAGATCATGCCACTGAGTTATTTCATTGTTCTGTACTCTGCTCATCCCATTGGACATTTAGGCTCATGAGCTTTTTTACACTATAGTATCACTGGAGGAAAATCAACAGCAAAATGTCACAAAGCAGACAAGACTTTTTAGTTCTTTCTTTCTTGTTAGAATTTGCCACATTTTTCTATGGCTTTAGCAAGTTTTTTTATACAAAACAAAAGGGAGGAAAAGAAAAATGTCAAAAACTGAACACTTTTATTATAAAACACATTTAGCCTAATTTATGTGTTGACCCAGAGCTCAGCTGCAATTTTCAACATCATAAGCTGTAAGAATTTGCCTCAACCTGTTTTTGAACTTCGCATTTTTGTATTAATAACATTATTTTTCATGAAGTGATTCAGGTTGTCAGAGAACATCTTTRATGAAGGTATTTGAACATAAATTACACCAGCACTGAGTAGTTAAACATTTGTTTTTCACCTGATGCAGAAGCAAATCAAACTTTTTTTTTGAAATTGCAGGAATGTCAGAAAAAAATGATACAAACTTGGTATGCAAATGTTTTCTTCTAGTTTGGGTTCTGCCTTCTATAATTATCATGTTTCTCTGCAGCTGTCACTGGACCTCAGTCATTTGTCTTCACAGTTCAGTCTTCAGCCAGTCCTGAAGTCTGTTACGTCAAGCCTGTCTGGAACAGTTACTAAAGCTAATTTATGCTCAATAAAACAGTAAAACACAGAGGGAATGTCTTCTCCTGGAACAGCTTTACTCATGGCTCTGCTCTCTGAAACAAGTTGTTCTTTCTGCAGTCTTCAAGTAATCCTCTTCTCCATTATCAACTCTTTTTTTTTCTTTCAGGAGGCCACATCGAACAGTTCAGCACTTAAACTCTGGTGAATTTTACATAAGTTGGACTATTATTATTTTTATTTTTTTAATCAGTTTTTTTGCACTTTGTACAGCAAAAGGAAACATTGACTTACATGAGCTGTGCTGTATACTATGTATACATTTATTCAGCTCTGTGCAAAAAAGAGAGAAAAAAAGGTGATACTTTTTTCGTTTGTAATTGTCTTTGACTTCTGCATATTTATTCCAAAATAAAGCAGATTCTAAAATAGTTTTGGGTGCGTTGCTTTTTTCTTATAATAACAGATTTATCAACCTGTAACTTACCTGCAAAGTGTTTTCTTCCTTTTAGTTTTTCTCAACTATAAATACTAAAGTGTGTTTTGTTGTGAATAAGTTCTGATGCACACAGTTGTCGATTTTCTTTTAACTCAGTGCATCAGGTAAAGCAGCATTTATCAAAACGCCACCTTCCTCAAGCTTTATAAAGTTGCTGAAAAATGTCCCTTTACAGATAGAAATGTGAGAAAATAATCAATCTGGYGACATTAACTGGTCACAGGTTGAGAACTCAGTAACTGTTCAATTTGTAAAACTTTACATTGAGTTAACTTTGAAAAATTGCAATAGGCATTGCCTGCGTGAAACAACAGATAATGACCTCAAAACGGCAACTGTTGCTGCCCATCAGAGTTAAAGGTAATTTCTAAACAAACTGGAGTTCATGATTTTACAACGAGAAAGATTATTTTGAAGTAGAAAACAATTACAACAGCTGCCAGGTTCGTCTCAGCAGATTCACTCCAAGGTCAGACTGAGYAAAGTTCAGACAAACGACAAAAAAATCTCTAGAGCTCCAGTTCAGACTCTAGCCTCAGTTAGCAGGCTAAAGGCTCAGATAAGACCAAAATAGAGATGTTTACCCATAATACATTGCAACCGAAGTCACGCAAGTTCCTCATTTGAGTGTGTGTTTGTTCCAGTTCAGCTCAGTT